TCCTTCCCACAGCTATACCCTCCTGGAGGAGAGGTACTTCCCACACGGTCCTGGATCCAGAGGTTGGACCAGGGTGGAAAAGAGACAGCGAGACCCCAACCAAGCTATGGCGGTTCGTGGAGCCTGCGTGGCTATGGTATCTGGTGCAGTGCTGGTGGTCCTTGGTAAGTGCTAGGAGCATCAATTGGCGGATGGTCCATCACAATTATACAGCTGTAAATCATAATTATTCAATCTTCATTTAAAATCAGCTTTATTGTCAAAATTTACAGACCTTCAGCTGTTTGCAATGAACAAATCAAACAAAAGTAATTGAATAATAAATAGCTCAACACAACGAATGCTTCAAGTGGTTTCCCCAAATTCAACTGAAAATGCAACTTATGTTGACTTGTGGCAGTGTAGGACAATAGGAGCATGATGTATAGAAAGTAAAACCACAAAAAGGAAGGACACTATGCAAATAAAAGTAAAAATGTACCACTCTGGTCGAAAAGGAAACAAATTAACACACTGTAGCAGCATAACAGCACTTACAGTGTACAAATGAGATAGCAGCAACGAATAAAATAATGTGATACAAGACAAAACAAAATAAACAGTTCGGTAATTCCAATATTAAGCTGTCTATTAATGTGCCAATAATTCAGCATAGCCAAATTATGTAATTATCTACCACCACACTGCATCACAACCAAATATTTGTACAGGTAACAAGGAAATAAAATCCAAAATCACATGTCGGTGAGAAGTGTAAGAGAAGAAAGCTTGACAAAATCCATAATGACAGTACTAACAGCCTTATAGAGCCATATCCACTACAACAATTAAATTAAATTACTAGACAACTCTAAACACAAAATACACATCCTTGTGCCATTTGTGGTTGCATACGTTTCTGAATATAGTTGTCCAATAAGCGTTTGAGGTCCATATTAAAATGCACCCTGGATAGCTATGACATTAATTTAATATAAACAGCTAATAACAGGGAACAGTAAAGCCAGAAGGTGAGCAAGGAGTGAAAAATTGTATGAACACAAATAGCAAATGTCTCAGAGGATAGTATAGAAAATAAGTAACATTACAATACTTTTTGATTGGCAGCTGGAAATTGAATTGAGAACGGTACTAAATAGTCACCTGCTACTACTATTAAAATTACTGTAATAACAACAATGAACAATAATCTACAATAAAATATGTGACGGACTGCCTGGCACCCTGATTGCCTCTGCCAATCGCTGCTTCCTAGCAACACCGAGTACTCCTAAGCACTCCACCATACATGATAACCACCGTAAACCCCACAGCCAGCATTACAGCTTGGTTGGGATCTAACTGTCCCCACCACACATGAGACGAGGCTCTATGTTGAGGGTGAAGAGGAACGGTTTAAAACGGTATCCACAACTGGCCTTATATGCAGGTCCCCATACAAAGGCTTTACTATAACATATTCCAGGGGCATTCCCCACTGGACCTGAGAGGGGACTATGGCAAAGTACACACTGTAATTACATTGGCTCTCAGGTCCAGGACACTCCCACACACAAAACAGGGTAATCCCTCCCCTGTGCCTGAGAGATAATTGAGTGAGGAACTGTACTAAACTCAATTATCTCCAGGCACAGAAAACATACATAAAAGTACCCCCAAAACACATGGAAACCCCACAAAAGTTACATCCTCGTATAGCCCAGATCTGGGTGACCAACATATCCAAAAATCACCCAGATCGGTTCGGGATTTCCATGGAAGTCATAAGTTGACCACACACACGAGGCTCCTGCCCTAAAGAGTTTCATGAAATCAGGCTGTGCGGTTGGTCTCTTTTGGGAGTACAAAATACAGTAAAAGTACCGAATGTAGTGGTTCGTGGGTACGCTCAGTCTATGTACCTCGTTTGGGAGCTTGCTCCCACCGAACGTCCTTCAATTCCCACATGTTCAATTTCGATGGAAATTCTAGCGGTGTTCGCACCGTCGAGTGTCCAAATGAGTTCCATGCACTCGACGGCCAAACATCAATTAAGTTGCGATTTAGAGGTGTTAATAGGGGTAACGAGCTGCACACTCCACTTACGGGTGCTCCAACTGTTCGGGCGTTTGTTCGGTAACTGAACAGAATTAGTACAATCCGTTCGGTACATCTCACCTGGTGATTTAAAAGGCACAAACAGAGCCTTTTAACAGGTCTAAACCAGGGGCCATAGTCCTGAGGCAAGAGACTGGCCAGCAGGCCCCTCCAAGAGCCTGTGGCAAGGTTACTTTCGACACAAAATAATTCATCCCTTCTTCAGTCGAATAATAAAGCCTTAAAGGAACATTCTAGTGTTACGAATATGTATTCCTAATGCTTAATTGTTATACTAAATAGTTAATTATGCAGCCACCACCCCAGAAGTTATAAAATAAGTTAAGTCTTTATTTTCCCCAGCGTGCAAGTCTTGTCAGCCAACTTCTCCTCTGCTGGCTGAACCCAGCAATACTGATGATCTCAGCCAGTCCAGTGCTTCCCATTGGGTGGCTAGTGAGTATGAGCATCAATTGCTTCACTGCGTTAGTCAGCATCTTCTCATAGAGATGTATTAACTTAATGCATCTCTATGAGGAACAAAGTCTTCATGCTAATTGTGCAGATGTTGAGCATCAGTTCTGCAAACGTTGCAGGATCCCAACCGGGAAGTCCCTCATGTGGCTGTTCGATTTTAGACTGCTGAGTCAACAGGGACAATCTCTTTGCCCTAGAACTACTACATCAAGCTGTAGTGGTTCTGGTGCCTAGAGTGACGCTTTAATTGGAGGCAGATGTATTTATGTGACCCACTGGTGTTTGATTGCCCAAATTTGAATATGGCTGAAAGGATGAACATGGTAGAACTCCAATAATATTTCTTCTAGGATTTTTCCGATTTACTTATATGTATGTAAAAATGGATGGACATCTTAGGGCCATCATATTTAATTTAGCAGAAAAAAAGTGTTTAATGGTCCCAGTTAACAGCTTTTGGCAATGTACGCATAATATAAATTTATTCTACAATCTTCTACTTTTCAAAGATTAGGGAAATGTCCTCAACTAAATATTTTTAGAGGTTAAAATAGTAGGTAGAGATACAATACATTTTCTAGGGGTTTGGGGACACTGGTCACTCAAGTAGGAGGTCCTGAACATCTATATATATCTAAACTGTAAACTTCGGCATGACAGAAAATGGTTTGCCTAAATATATTCTGGGGTCATTTTGATTCTCATAGGTTTAATTTATTTAGTTCCTCACCCAAGGCATTGGGTGAGGAGGGGATTTAGAAAGAGCTTAGGAGCAGAGCTTATATTTTTAAATAAACAAATTATAATCAAGGAACTGGTATGATATCAAATCTGAGCAAGGTACTTTTGGAAAACCACTGGTTTATCATCAAGATGCAGAACCCAACAAGTCCATTGTGGAACCTTAAGTACTTTGATTTACATCACCTGGATGGCACATCACACCTGCTATCTTTGCAGAGGACCCCTATTATTCATCGTACTGCAGATTTATTACTGTAGCATCCTTGGTCACTTGGGAGCCTGGACAATGGTTATCGGATTTGCCCTTCTACTGCAGGATATACTTTTTACAGTTTGGTGTTATGGACTAGTGAAAGGATTTGCTGCAACTTTCTAGTGGTTTTGTCTTGGACGATTTCAGGATAATATCTTGTTTTTATTCATTTTACAATTTTTTTTTTATCAGCCTTGTGTTTATATTAAATAAATTCCATTGTGATCATTTCAGATCCCTTTTTTCTATTTGTTACTTGTGTTTGTATTATATTTTATTTTGTTTTATTATTTGCTCATCAAATGGATACACCTTTACAATAGGATTATTATTTTCTTTTGGGGGGGGGAGAAAAAAGGGATTATTTACAGTTTCAAGCAGAGTTTTACGTTTTAAATGGTTAAGCACTGTTACTCATCATGTCTGTGTGCTTTATATCAATTCTTTTAATTCAGAAAACATTCAGAGAGCATTATTCTGACAATGTTTGGGGCTGTCAATGATTGAGTTGGATTGGGGTTTCCTTGACAGCAAGTTTGCTTTCATAGTGGCCAGGGGACATTGTTAGTGAGCTCGTGGTGTATGACTGAAAGTTTTAGAAACAAACATGAAGAACAAATGGACAAGACCAAAGAGAAGAGGCATGGAGGAGGAAGAACAAGACGCAATGTTAAAGCAGCGATTATACAATGCAGCATTTTCTCTATACCACAATCAAACACTCAGGGAATGACTCACAAAGTCTTCCATGAAATGATCAAATCCACCTTAAATCTGAGAACATTACACAGAGATCAGGGGCAGTTTGTTAGAGATTGGTGAGATGTAACAAATCTGTGGGTGTTTATTACGCACCTTACAATGTTTATATCTGCTGGAATTTCCTGTTTGTTCCATCAATTTGAGAAGAAATAAAATAAAAATTGTTTAGGAAAACTGTCAATTATTGTTATTAAAATATAAAATAATACAGTCGCTAGCACTCATTAAATTTTTTAATAAATATTACAAATGCGTAAATACCTATTCTAGTTTACCCTTCTTTATGAAACAGTCCCCTATGGTTGGAGCACTGCTTATACAAGCAAAAACCATGATAGTAATTAAAGAAACATGCCATGCATGCTGTAGTGGTTATGGTGGCAGGAGTAGTCTGGAGCAGCCACGATAGAAAGGTGTCAGAAAACATAGTGCATCGCAGTTTTCTGCATATGGGGCCGCAGTCCGGTCGGAGTGCCCATGATGACCACTGTCTACCACCGAAAGTGCCTTCATTATGGACATGAGCATCAGAACTGGACCATGGAGCAATGAATGAAAATTGCCTGGTCTGATGAACCACATTTTCTTTTCCATCAGATGGATGGTGGGAGCATGTGCGCCATTTACCTGGGGAATAGATGGCAACAGAATGCACTATAGGAAGAACGCAGGCCGGTGGAATGCTCGGGGCAATGCTCTGCTGGGAAACTTTGGGTCCTGGCAATCATGTGGATGTTACTTTGACACTTACCACCTACCTAGAGATTGTTGCAGACCACACACCATGGTAATGGTATTCCTTGATGACAGTGGCTTGACAAAGAACCATATGGGTCGAAACATTTCTGGTTTCACTGTGTTCCAAATAAATATACCCTTTTGAGCACTGGAGTGTCCTTTTGAGCATTTGACCTTCTATCTTCTACATGCTCCCTGATGGTAGTGGCTCTCAGCAGGATAATGCACTCTGCCACAATGCAAAAATTGCTCAGGAATGGTGAGGAACATGATAAAGTTCAAGGTGTTGCTTTGAACTCCAAGTTCCCCAAATCTCAATCCGATTGAACATCTGTAGGATGTGCAGGAACAACAAACTCAATCCATGGAGGCCTGGCAACTTGCAGGACTTAACGAATCTACTGTTAATGTCTTGGTGCCAGATACCACAGGACATGTTCAGAGGTCTTGTGGAGTTTTTCTGGCAGCACAAGGAGAAGCTACATGATACTAGGCAGGTTTTTAGTTTTGTGGCTGATCAGTGTATACTCACAAGTGTACAAACACTGATCCTACTATGTGAACTGCGAAAATATTTCATACTTGTCCACTACAAATCAGAAACATGTTTCTAGAAGTACAGAACACAACATCTTGGTTTGTGAAATGATATCAAGCTATCCCCATTTTTACCCCTACCGTACATGCATGACTTATCCAGAGAAGGACAATCTTATGCCGAAAATTCTACCTAATAGATAACAATATATAAAGACAAAATACAGAAGATGCAACAAAATTAAAATAAAAAAAAATGTTGGACTTCTCCAGCTTTGGATCTAACTAATAATATACACTAATCACTTACTGCACCAGCCAAGCAATCCAATGTGACATCCAAATAGAATGAGAAAGCTTTATAAGTAAACAAAGGCTGACAATGCTGTCCAAGGTGCTGAAAGTGGTGATAAAATATTCAAAGCTTACATACCGTATATACTCATGTAAAAGTGGACTTTTTCACCACATTTTTTATGCTGAAAAAGCCCCCCTCGGCTTATACTCGAGTGAGTTTCACCGGGACTAAATGCATGTTCTCGAGCCAGCTCCCCCTCACACGGCGCAGAGTTCCCGCTCCCTGTCTTATGTGTAACAGACACTCCCACAGCAGCTCGATTCACTCCTTGCTCTGATCACAAGTTGGTTCCCCATGGAGGTGTCTGCAGCCGGTGTTCTATCAGATTTTCTCCTACCTGTACTTCTGTGCCTGCGCGGCGCGGCACACCCCCTCCCCCAGCTGGGTAACATCATGTCCGGTGTGGCTTCGTCACAGGAAGTGACGTGGGTATAGCATTTTGACAAGGTATTTGAATCTGCTAGATCACCGGCTCGAGCAAAGCCACCTCTGGCTCCAGGAGTGCTGGCAAAGGGAGCTGCGATGGAGGAGTCGCCAGCCCCAGCTCGGGTTGCCTTGGGCTACCAGTATGTGGCCACAACTCGCCCACCTGCCTGATACCGCAGTCTGAGTACAAGTTGGGGGACTTTGATACTGTAGCTACTGTGGGTGAGTCCTGATCTGGCTTCCCAATCACACTGTAACTTATCATTGTAAGAAAAAGACAAGTTTGGGCAGCCCAAGTGACTGAGCATGATGGTCATTGCATTCCATATTCTGCTTTATTGATTCTTTTCTTAGAGTTCTGGATAGGCTTGGTTGTCCAGCTTGCTGAGCATCCTGTGACATGTAGTCTTTAACATCTGTAATAGTTATACAGTCAGGCTTGTCATGCCTCAACGGCAAGTAACAAGCACAACAGGTCACAGAACAAGTGGTTTGTAGGGCAGTAATGAAAATAAATATGCACAATTTTATATTATAACATCGGCAAGCAGAATATGTCAGCGTTAAACAATGAAGGAATTCAAGCTTAGATAACGGACTATATGAGTCTGCAAAATTCTATAATTGAAGTATTCAGAAAAACATGCTGAGTGTATCTGCCTAGATTAAATTCTGAGGCTACTTACAAGATCAGGAAACTCTAGACAGATGGTCATTTACAAGGGGTGTGAACCACTGAGTTATGGATCATATTGGTACAGCTGCACCATTGTAGGTATAGCATAAAATAGAGAGAACAAGCAAGATTGAACAAAAGGCAAAATTAACTAGCTGCCATATCTATATAAGATCTAGATATGCTGTGGTGTGCCGAGCTATGTTTATAGGCAGGATCTATGGGTATGTTAGTTGCCCAGTTGACCAGCTACATAAGGCAATCTCAATTGGGCAATACCCAAGTCTGGGAAGCAAGAGGTTAAGACATGGCGTAGGAGGGTCCAAGGGATGGCAACAACCCTGGGGTGATGGGAGGCATCTCTTCTGCTCCAGGCCAGGTTATAGGCCCGCATTGTAGGTCCATGGACTTGTGAGCCCACAGAGTCCATGTCCTTCCCCTGTGGGGACAAACAGAGAGTTCCAGTTTTGCAAAGCTGCTGATGGCGTTAATCCTCCTTCTGCGTGGACGATGCTTTGTGGTCTTATCTCTGTTGGCCCTCAGTCCGGGTGGGCTAATAGCAATGGGTATATGCGCTCCTAAATGTTGGACACCTGAAGGCGGCCTGCGTACTGCCTGGGTCTCGCTCATGTCTCTCTCCTGCAGATAATGATGCGACTTGGTTGCCTGTTGTGCTTCCAGGGAGGTCTAGAAGTGGATAAATAGCAAATCCAGTCGCCCCATGATGTGCTCAGTAGTGTCCAGAGGTTCTCTCTTGGGGTATAGGGGCCTGGAAATAGCAAGCTGCACAGATTGCATAGGCCGGAGACCATGAGGATGATGCTCCTTTGCCATCTTGAGAGCAGGCTGTGGTTGGAGTATCCACAGAGGTTGCAGCAGCACTTCTACTTTTGTGCGTATTCCACACCAGTGGGGACTGGGATGACCCCCACCAGTCCGGCAGGGGGGGGGGGAGCGGGAGGGGTACGCACTACGTACATCTAGGACTGGGGAAATCGACTGCCTTCCCAAAGCTCAGTATTGTGCAGACCACAACATGCAGCCGCAGTTTGCCGGAAGCGAGTGAGGTGTTGGCTGGTTCACCACAGCACCCCAATCCAAGGTTGGATGCGATGTGACTGGTTGCTGATCAGGAACTGCAAGTATAACCCAAAATTCAGCAGGTTGAGCGGGAGCTCGTGGGATACACTTCTAGCCAGGTCGAAGATCGGGCTCCGCCCCCCAGTTTGCACTATTAATAACTTTACATACACGATTGTAAATGTATATGCCCCATATGTCAACCAACAAAACTTTTTTCCCACAATATGTTTCAAACTAGTTCGCCTATGACTGTACTTCTTACCTATGAACTCTCTGTCAAACCTGTATAAATGTCTCCAAGCTTACAGTACACACTCATTTTACAAACTAAAATACAGGCACTGGGTATGGAGAACCTGGAGACAACACTGGAACGGCTTAAAAAAACCTTTAACATTGATGGGAGGAACAACTTACTCACATTCCTGGGTATACATCTCACAAAAAAACTCTCACATTTTTTATACACAAAATTATGTCAAACTACAGAAAGAAATGTCCTTGATCTTAAAAACTCAAGAGGAAAAGCTTATATCCTGGATGGGGCTTATTGCAGCCTTAAAATTTGTCCTTTTACCTAAACTCCAGTATTTATTTTGCAACTTGCAAATACAGACTCTGAAAGAATTTTTCTTAAGAATTTAGAGGGAATTGTGTTTTTTTTCAGTCAAAACAAGAAACCTAGAGTGGCCACCAGTACTTTATACAGAAAGGCCTGGGATTACCACACAACAGAGACTGTTATAGAGTGGTACTGTTGGGGACAGTAGTCACATTATAGTCTCAGGATAGAGACCTAGAATGGGCATACATCAAATGGTCCTTAACAAAAGGGGTTTAATATATGTTTTGGATCCCTTGGTTTCTAAACCATCTAACCCTAATTTGATAGTATCAACTAAATTACTTCTAATAAATTGGGACTCCAATCACAAAAAAAGATTGTAGATTTTCCCGTGGTCCCTGATCACTCCAGTACATTTTGTGCGAGTTGGCCTCTCCTTTTAGTCTGTCTATGAGCCATAGGACAACAGAAGGGGTGACTCACTTGCATCAGATGTTCAAAATTAGGAAATGCCCATTGATCTCCACATACTGGTCTAAAGTACACACATTGTTACTTACCACCAACAGTTGAGTCCTATGTATTGTTTATGCGTCCTAAAAACCTACCTACACATTGTTTGAAATTTTATATTTTTAATATAAAAACATATGTATCCTTTTATAATTTTAAAAAAATAATAAGTAAAGACACTCATGTCTGAAACGATACTCGTAGATCCAAAATTGTTATAAGTCTGTCAATATGGTCAAGTTGAACAAAGAACCACCCCGGGATCTACAGAAAAGCAGTGCCTCCACGCTCCTTCCACTACTCTTTCTCTCTTTTATTGTTTGTCAATCTAGACGATTTCATTTATTTTGATTCACTTGAACTGTTACCAGCAAACATAATCTTTGTGTGCAGAACTATGTAAAGTCATTGCACTTCGTATATCGCGAGACGTGTGTTGTTTATTTATGCATAAAACTCAATTTAAAAAAAAAGTCAAATTTAAAAAGATAATTGCGGGGTATCATGGGAGTTGTAGTTCATGAACACCTGGAGAACTATTACTATTTGGTGGTGTCCCCAAGATTACAGATATGCTTTCCAGACATTTTTTTTTTACTTGATCATTTAAACAGAATGTACTGCACATGATGAAGTGTTAGAACTGGTAAAAAGTCTAAAAAATAGAGAAACTTAGAATAGATAATTAGCAATAGCAAAAATATGACTATTCTATATAGTTAGTAAATTTCAAAAGACAGTCGCACTGGTAGTAGTAGGTGAATAAGAAGAATAAAATACAATATAGTGCAGTAGGACAAATTAAGCAATTATAATTTGATGCTAAACAACAATGGGGGGTGGGGGAGGCTAGGGGGATTAGATGCAAAACACATCCAGTATGTGATATCTGAAGTGGTCAGTAGTCTTTTCTTAACTCTCAGTATTTGTTATATTGTTTTTCAAAGGCCATTTGCAATGGCTTGCTAGTAAGATATAGCAATCCTTTTAAGTCACTGCGG